AAATAAAAATTAAAAAAAACCTGATTTTTAAATTTTCAAACTATAAACCTGATTTTTGAATTGGTGTAAAGTAAACACCTTATTTATGAATTTTTCCCAAGATTTAATACTTTACAGGCCCATTGACTAAAAAGTAAAAGGCCCAAGCATTTAATATTTAAGTAGAAAAAAATACAGAATTATCATAATTTCAATATACACTTTCAAATTCAAAAAACTTCTAGAATTCTTTCAAAAATCAAGCGGTCACATTTGTGACCATCTAATATAATTTTTGTGGCCCAATTATTAATTAGATAGGCTAATGTTACAATAATATATAATTACATACTAACCACAACCACAGCATCACAATCACAAAAACTCAAAATATAACTCACTAATTTAGTTATAAATCACATATTATTATAGATTACAACTTATTTAAGGATCATAAATTAATTAATCACAGTTATCAATTAACTGGTCACAACTTACCTTTTTATCTCCCCATCTCACCCTACACACACTCCACCACTGTCGGTACAACCTATTCTTCGTGTCGCATAAGATCTACAGCCCACGACTATCACAACCACAACTACACCCACCACCCCTCCCTTTTTCTTGCATTCGTCACATGTTATCTCCTCACACTACCACCATACCATTGGGTAACAGCCACTAATTTTCTTCTCACCCAACCTCACAACATCCCACCCTTATTTTCCCTTGATAACCATAGAGATGACGATAGAAAAAATGACCGCCATTTCAGCCCCCACTATTATCGCAACAACACCACGCCGCACTACCAGTATCACCACACCACTATACGTAGATCTTTACATTGTACTACCAACACCACACATATTCGCACCAACATGATACAATATCACACCACATCCATTTTTCGCCTCTACCACTGCGATTGGGATTTGACAGTGTATCGATCCACCGTCAATTGGAGAGGGGAAGACGATGTTGGTTTTCCATGATGGTAGGTAGAGTTGGTGAGTGGCGGCCGAGAGAACACTCTCACACACATACACATAGAGAAAGAAGTAGATACAAATATGGTAGTGAGAGAACATCATCTTGGTTGGGTGGGCATGGGTGTGGAGCGCTTAGGTGGGGGCGTTTATGTTGGTGGGATGGATACATCTGATTTTTGAAAAATAAATTTTTGTACTTGATTATTGAAATGAAAAGTTAAGAAGTAGGTATGTGTGCAGTTCCTTGATTTAGTTATTGGCTAGCCCTTGTTATAGTTTCTTTCAAACCTTTTGCTTCACTCCTTTTCCGAAGTGGGATTGATAAGATTACGTGGTCAACTGGTCCAGCCTTTGAATTTTTAACAGTCGTTGGGATTACTTTGAAACAATGTGCTATTTTTATTTGAAAAAATTGTATAGGAAAATCTAAAACCCAAAATAAATTATTTCTTGAATTATAAAATTTGATTTATTTTTTCATTTCGTCTCTATTTTTCTCATTTAATTTTATTTTAATAGCACACTAAACTGTATATCATTATTCGTTGAAGTTTTGGCTATATTTATTTTCTCCTTTCATTGACATTAGGACTCTGTTTGGTATAAATTAAAATTCAGATTTTAATCTAATTCAAATTTAATAATTAATTTTAACCACATATTTTATGAGACCCACAATTTTCAATCACAGAATTTCATTAACTTTTATCAAAATTCACACAAAATATGATTTTAATCCTCATCGAATAAGTGCTAGAAGTGGGCATAATGAAAATTAAAGTATAATAAATGTTTTTATAGATATTAATTAATTTGAAAATTAACTTATTTTTCTGGCATATATTTATTTATTACAATCGGTTCAATTCAATTAGATCTTTTGATCATGAACCTTTTTTTCTTTTCAGGTCAACGAACGAGCCGATTATGAAAACATGGGATGGATCACAGTTTTTTTTTGGGTCAAGTGACATGCCTTGTACTTGAAATCCTCTTTCTAAAAGGGTAATTTTGTCAAATATCATCTATTTTCCTTTGGTATCTGCCAAAAAGAACAATTATATCATGACTATATTTTAATTGCACTCAAGGTCCTAAATTTTTACTTACTATATAGTACTTACGCGCTTGATATTTTTGTTGCATTTTTTTTTTTTGTCAACCTTACATTGATTAGCACAACTTGACTTTGATAACAACTTATTTTTGTCCATCGTGTTTGTTACGGGCCTTTTGAAGCCCTCCACCTCATCCGTCACTTGTTGGCCGAATTGATCTGGTGTTGCCGTGTAACAGACAAACTGAATCCACGTCGGATGAAATGATTTCATAATTCCGAACTGAAACACTACCCCATCTCGTAGAAGAATCGAATTCATCCGCCCTTCACAACGGATGCAAATGCCCGCACTCTTTGCACTTCACAATCCCCCTCGCAAGGATCTTTTAGGAGGTCTCCAAAGTTAAGCCCCTGACTGATTGATGGGACATGTGGTAGGCTACAAACGGTCAATTCAGCTGATATGTCAGAAACTATTTAATGTCCGCTAACCTATGAATTGACGGATTGATGCCTATGAGATGATAACTTATATGGGATATGAAGTCACGTGTCCCTTCATCCAACGGTCTACCTCTTCCATTCCCTAGTATAAATACCCTCACACTGGTAAGAGTAAGAAGTTCCCATTCTAAGTTTGACATTATAATCTTTAACTCTCACATTCTAAGTTTGACATTATAATCTTTCACTCTAAGGAGCTCTTCGATATATTTACACACATTCTCAACCATGTTCTCGTGACCACCTCACCACTGGACACCACTTTCCGGTTGACTGAAATACTGACTTGACCGTCGGAGTGCTCGCGGCCGCCTCCACCCCTACCGGAAAAGGCCACGAGTGACTAACGGTGTATTACGGTGCGTAGGAAGGAGCACACGTGGAGTCTAGTTCTGTTGGCCACGTGTCGAAACCATTTTTCAAGGTCAACAGTGTTTATAAAAATATTACAAAAGTTTGACACAATAATTTTTCTCCGTTTCACAATACAAGTAGAATATTTGATAAAAGAAATCATCAAGAACGTACTATGATAATTAATGAAAGGATTATGCTAAATGTACATAATCCTTTACACAATCTTGTACACCCCCCTCACATGGAGGGGGGCCCACACACAATAAAATATTCGTGGGTCCTCCTCCATGTGAGAGGGGTGTAAAGGATTGTGTAAATTATGGAGTGTACATGTAGCACAATCCTTAATGAAATACCGAATAAGAATTTAATAAAATAACTTAAGGAAATGAGTACTACAATGAACAAAAATTAGAGCATATTTGATAGAAATTAAAATCGGATTAAAATTGAAAAACTAGCCGTTATTGTTGACTTTTATTTGACGAGTGGGGCCCAATAACGACTATATTTTCAATTTTAATTGAATTTTAATCGGTACCAAACATGCTCTAAATACAATTAAAATATGATATATCAATGTAACCACATTTCAAAAAAAGGAAAGGCTGGACAAAAAGCAGCTCCTAATCCCTATCCCCACTCACGTGCCAACAACCATACTCTACTCATCCACTAGTAACTTTCACTTCGTCTTGCTTCTCTTTTGAACACATTGATTCATTGTATTGTAATGAGATTCAAACCCAAGCTTGTGTTCGCCATAAAAGTGACACGACGACTATGAGATGTGAATTTTTAATTAGGAGAATGTTCTCCAACAAGTATAGAAAAATCGGGTGGGATGAAGATATTTTGAGACGAAGTGTAATATAAAGGTTGAATGACATGTTATTGAATTGTGTACAATGAATGCTTTCTTTGAGTTCTCTCTCCCTTTTTTTTTCTTTCTACTTTTTATCCATATCGACAAACAAATCGACCGAAGACTTGTATGCCTAGTTTCAATAATGATAGGGACTAAAAAATTTCAAAAGGAACTAAGTGCTATCTTTAGCAAAGGTTGAGGACCCCAGTACGAATTTCCCTGCTTACTGTATGTATTTTTTGTTTCCTGAAATTTGTCTCTCTTTTTCTGTGGTGTGTGGTTGAACCAGGTGTGGGGTGGGAGCCGTCACGCTTAGTCACAAGTCGCAAGACCCACTTTTTGACAACCTTCCTAAAAACGAACAAAAATAAATTCGAACGTTGGGACAATGGCCTACCACAGTCCTACACTAAAAGCCTAAACTCGTCACGTTCTAAGATATATGGGCCCCATTATTATCCTTTCCATAGGACAAATATTAACAACTATTTTTCAAATTTTATTTAGGCCTCGTTTGAAAGTCATTAATTTCTTGTAATATATTATAAATAGTAAATTGATGGAGAATGCGTGGTTAAAAAATAAAGAAATTTTATTGATTTGTGTGTGAAGTATTTTATTAGGTGAATGTGACAATGTGTGATGAAAATAGGTATTGCAGCGAATAATTTAAAATTATAAAGGATGAGGGGCTTATTTTCATTCTTTTAGCAGGTTTTTGTTAGATTAATTTCTTGGGTGGAGTTCAACAATGGAAGCCGACAGTGCAAAACTACAAACCCAACCGACAGTGCAAAAACTACAAACCCAACAGTTGGAAATGAATAAAAACAAAAGAAAACGTCAAATTTTCCTCCTCATCCCAACTTTTCTTTAACACTTTCTTGTGATTTTTTATAGAATAAGCAAAACAAAACGTTCATATGCACACCACCCAAGAAAGTTAGATTCTCCTTCCTCTCTCTAACTATACACTTTTCTTCTAAATAAAATACAATAAATGTGGAATTAACTGACTAGGGTGTTGGAATTTCTCTTTACAGCTATGTGTAGTTAGTGCAAAAGAGTTCTTCCTTCGTGGGTCTCGTTCACTCTGCTGCACTTGGGAAACATTAATGGTAGATATGAGTAGTTGTACTTCTTGAAGAAAAAGCTGTACACTTCTCATTCAAGGAAGACTTGTTTGATTTCTTTCTTCTGGGAATTCTTGGATTTTACATTTTGGGTTGCACCCAAAATGAAGGATGGTAAAGGAGTTGGCTTTATAATGCTGCTGCTGTGTTTGTGGATTGTGGTTGGGTGCTGTTTGGGACAGAACACTTCAGATTCGGTTACTGCTGTGTATATTGTGACAATGAAACAAGCCCCTGTTTCTCATTACTACAGTGAGTTTAGAGTGAAGAAAGGACACGACATTAAGCGCAGTGATTCTGAGAGAAGGACTAGACTGGATAAACCCAGGTATTCTTTTTCTTAAATATTTATCCTGTACATTATTTAAATATATAATGCAATTTAAGGAAATGACAAATGTATGACTAAATGGATTGTTTCATATGTATACTGCTTTCTTGTTTTGTAGAAATGATTATGAAAGGAAAAGCTAAAATATTGACTCCTTGGAAGTTTCTTTTAATAAATTAGGGGTATAATATTTGGGTTTTGGTTATTGAGGCCTAATCTGTGTCTTGTATTTAAGTTGAAATTGATAAAGGTTCTTAGGCAGTTGTGTTAAAAATAAAAAATAAAAAATGAAAAGCCTCTGTTACGATTTCCCGAAATCATTGTCAAAATAAATAATTGATATTGGTTTAGTTTTTGAGCACTTATATGTGAATATCCTTACTTATGCCAAGCAATTGGATTATTATATATTTTTGCTATTATCATTGGAATATCGAGTCACTGTCTATATGTGATTAAAATGTTTGGATTATGAATCAAGAAGGTTGACTTTTTTTTTTCTTGTTTCTGGTTTTATATTTGAAATCAGCAACATTTCAAGAACAGATAGGCACAACGGATCATATATAGCTCGCGTACATGATTCCCTGTTGAGGAGGGTATTAAGAGGGGAAAAATATCTTAAATTGTATAGCTACCACTATCTGATAAATGGATTTGCCGTGCTTGTCACCCCACAGCAGGTTTGTTGCTAAATTTGTCGCACCTTTATTGTTAATTGACTCCTATGATACTTATTGTTGACTAATTTTGTGTATTATTGTAAGTGCTATATTTGCTTGATCAAATCTTTTCATGTTCCCGTTCATGAATTTTTAACACTGTTGACTTTTAAAGGCCGACAAACTTTCGAGGAGGAAAGAAGTGTCAAATGTGGTTTTGGATTTCACTGTAAGAACTGCAACCACTCACACTCCCCAGTTCCTAGGTCTTCCGCAAGGGGCATGGGCAAAAGAAGGTGGATTTGAAACTGCAGGAGAAGGGATTGTGATTGGATTCGTTGACACCGGAATTGATCCATTGCACCCCAGCTTCTCTGATACACCCAATAAACCGTATCCAGTACCAGAGCATTTTTCTGGCATTTGTGAAGTCACACGAGACTTTCCATCTGGATCCTGCAATAGGAAGCTTATTGGGGCTCGCCATTTTGCTGCATCTGCCATAACTAGAGGGATATTCAATGCCACTCAGGACTATGCTTCACCGTATGATGGGGATGGGCATGGAACGTAAGTATAGGCCTTGTGTTGTTATAACTGGATCGCTGTACATTTTGATATTCGGTGCAGAAGACGGTATCTTCTTCTTTTCTATAGAAAAGTTATACAATTCAACCTAGAAAAAATTTGATAATGTGAATGTCATGTTAAGTTTAGATTCCTCAACAGTAACATGGAAAACTCCTTTACCCCATGCCGAAGCTAGTTTCAGTCAAGAGAACATCTGTTTCTTTCCTGACCCATGTTTTCACCAAGAATTTTAACATAACAAGATTTTCTTTATTGTGACTTCTGTAAAACCATCTTTAAATTCCCGTGCCTTCCTTTGTTGTCAAGTCTGAAAATATTTATCAGACTTATTCTTTTGTATGAGTTCAACCCTTGATAGGATAGCTTTTAGTTTCATCTCATGTCACGCAATGAAAAGACGAAAAGTTAATTATTTGAAACAGAAAAACATCTTGAACTATAGATATAACTCTCCACTTTTCATGATGCAATTATTTCAGTCTTTTACGCTGTTTCTTAATGAACTAGTAGCTAATTTGTATAAATTTTCATAATGATACAGCCATACAGCTGCAACTGCAGCTGGAAACCATGGGATTCCGGTTGTAGTAGCTGGGCATCACTTTGGAAACGCCAGTGGAATGGCTCCTCGTTCACAGTAAGTTGACTTTCTGTCTTTGAATTCTATTTATTGCCTTCTCTGATCACATAGTCCTCAACCTTACACAAGATGCTTTGACATAAAAATATAAAAAGAATTTGTCTTGTTAGTGAACTTCATATGAAGTGTCAATTGTTTATCTCTAGCCCAGTACTCTAAAGTTCCGCAGTTTTCACACCAGATGGCTGATCTTATTTCCTAGTTTTATATGTGCTGAATTATGAATTGACCACATGACAATATTTTCTAGCATTGCTGTTTATAAGGCATTATACAAGAGCTTTGGAGGCTTTGCTGCGGATGTAGTTGCTGCCATAGACCAGGTACATCTATAATAACGCTGCATTTTGAATTTCCTTGCATTTATCTTTTATTCTTTATTTTTTTTACCTTTGTTCATACTCTGAAATAATTAGTCATATATGTCATATATTTGTATTGACAGGATTACGTATTCAATTTTGCAGGCAGCTCAGGATGGAGTGGATATAATAAGCTTGTCAATAACTCCAAACCGGCGTCCTCCAGGCATTGCCACTTTTTTTAATCCTATAGACATGGCATTACTATCAGCCGTAAAGGCAGGTATCTTTGTCATACAGGCAGCAGGGAATACTGGACCATCACCTAAGAGCATCTCTTCCTTCAGTCCATGGATCTTTACTGTGGGTGCTGCTTCTCACGATAGGGGCTATAGTAACTCTATTGTCCTTGGAAACAACATAACAATTTCTGGAGTTGGACTTGCACGTAAGTCGGGGTTCCTGAGCTATTGATTGACTTCTTTTATTCTTCGGAAAATATGGTATCAATCCTGTGTCTAGTCATGCACAAGAATCTAAGAGCAATGTCTGTACCTTATAGCATAAAACAGTCTGAATTGAAAAAAAAAAAAAAATTATTGATGGACTACTTGTCTAAGTATATATACATTATACTGACTTTATTGGTTTATCTGACTATAAATAGAAAGTCTTAATTTTATATGATTCTAATCTAAGTATGAGATACTATATTTTTACTATTTTTTAAGTTCAAGCCATCCTTATTTTACATGTGAGATTTTTTTTCTTATTTTATATGATTCTTATCTAAGCGTGAGATTTTTTTTCTAGTTCTATCTGTCCTGATTTTACACTCCCATTGTTATTTCGACACAAATATATATTTATAGCTTGTTTGGGAGAGAATTTTGAAAATCACTTATTCCCCCAAAATCACTTTCAACCACATATTCTATAGGACTTATAACTTCTCCCTACTTTTTAACCACACGTTCTCAGAAAAAAAATCGTTTTTCACTTGGAAAAATCTCTCACAAACATGCTCTTAGTATTTCAATGCTCACAACATATGCATACTCATGAGTTCATATCTGGACCACTGATGGTAACACTTAATTCACTTTGCTATAATCTGCACCTTTAGTTGCACGGAAACTTGTAATTATGTTAAGCTTTATGTTGTTGTGTGCAGCGGGAACGGATGGAGATACAATGTATACGCTGGTTTCTGCAATTCATGCTCTAAATGATACGGCTGCTGCAAATGACATGTACGTTGGTGAATGTCAAGATGCCAGCAATTTCAATCAGGATATTATCCAAGGGAATCTCATGATATGTAGCTACTCAATCCGGTTTGTACTTGGGCTGTCCACTATCAAACAAGCTTTAGAAACAGCTAAAAACCTCAGCGCGGCTGGTGTCGTGTTTTACATGGATCCCTTCGTCATAGGTTTCCAACTTAACCCTATCCCCATGAGATTGCCTGGCATTGTAATTCCATCTCCAGATGATTCCAAGGTACGTTTGTATTCTTATAAGTTTCACCAATTCATGAGAATACATATAGAAGAGTTTTGCAAATCAGGGGTATGTTGGATATTACATATTTGTATTAGGTTGCCTTAACATTCCTATGATACATAAATGATTTTTATGGGACCCTTTTTTGTGAGTCAGATAGATGTGAGAATGTACAATTTTTCTCTAATATAGTGAAAACCTGCAATGGCTAGTGCATGTAATTGCTGTCAAAAGCTGGAAATAGGTTTAATCCATAACAATTTGCTTGGCAGGTTTTGCTTAAGTACTATAATTCTTCTTTGGAGAAAGACGGAGTTACACAGAAAATTGTTAAGTTTGGGGCAGTCGCATGCATCTCTGGTGGAATAAAAGCAAATTTCAGCCATTCTGCCCCAAAGATTATGTATTATTCTGCTAGAGGACCAGATCCAGAGGACAGTTTCCTTGATGATGCTGACATACTGAAACCAAACCTTGTTGCACCGGGAAACTTAATATGGGCTGCCTGGAGTTCCCGCGGTACTGACTCAGTCGAGTTTCAAGGTACTTATCCCATGCACAAGAAAATCTTCAAATTACTAATGCAATATTTCTTCGGAGATCTTGAATTAGATTATGCTGGACTGTGGTAAATTCTAGGTGAAAACTTCGCTATGATGTCTGGAACGAGCATGGCTGCTCCTCATGTTGCTGGTCTCGCAGCTTTAATAAAGCAGAAATTTCCCACCTTTTCTCCATCAGCCATAGCGTCTGCACTTTCAACAACAGCTTCACTTTCTGATAAAAATGGAGATCCCATTATGGCACAACGTGCTTATGCGAACCCAGAATTGAACCAATCTCCTGCTACACCCTTTGACATGGGTAGTGGTTTTGTTAATGCAACTGCTGCACTGGATCCAGGCCTTATTTTTGATTCAAGTAAGTCGCACTGCTTTTATCTCTAAGTTTCACATTGCACATAAATTATTGAAAATTTTAGGCAATGTCATGATTCAACTGTTAGTCACTACATGGTCATGTGTTTGTAACTGGAGAAGATTTTCCTACTTTTATCCTCAATCGTTGTGCATCTGGCTATGACACAAGCTAAGTAAGAAAAGCTTGACATTCATGTCAAGAAAACTTGTTTAAACTGAGGGAAAATACTGAAGTTAACCAAGAAAAGGGAAAAAAAAAAAAAATTTCTATTTAACTTCAGAAAGAGCTATAAACAAAATGGCACGATATCTCGAACCCTGATTTCTACCCGTTGCAGGTTACGATGACTACATGTCCTTCCTTTGTGGCATAAATGGATCATCTTCTGTAGTTCTAAATTACACCGGTCAAAGCTGTGGAGTTTCTACCATGAATGGCACTGACCTAAACTTGCCCTCGATCACAATATCAAAGTTGAACCAGTCGACCACCATTCTACGAGCAGTGACTAACACGGCCGCAAATGAGACATATCAAGTAGGTTTGAGTGCCCCTTATGGAGTTTCCGTTAAGGTGATGCCGACTCACTTTTTCATTGCAAGTGGAGAAAAACAGGTGTTGAGTGTATTCTTTGACGCAACCATGAACAATTCAGTTGCAAGTTTTGGAAGAATTGGACTGTTTGGTACTCAGGGTCATGTAGTCAACATTCCTTTGTCAGTCGTCGTGAAAATTTCATACAATACAACTACTAATGGCTGAAGTTGATGATAATTTCTTTGTAACAGAGTCCAATTTTTTCATTAGTTGCTCTGTAAATGATTTTGTGATGTAGATAAGGAATTGATTGATCAAATAACTGATTTTTCCTTTGTCGTTGTCAAGAAAACTGATTGTAAGAATCTCCCTCCCTTTCTCTCTCTCTCAAGATAGAAAATTGCAATGTGATCCTTCAACTTTAGAAAAAGAGCAAGTTGGATTCCGAGGTTACAATTTGTTTGCACTGTTAGTTCAAGTAGATAATTTCTGTCTAAACCTAACTGTATGCACTTGAACTAATGTGGATTGATTTCAGAATTTCAAAATTAACAAGCTTGGTTTTTCTTGTCTAAGCACAAATGGATTGACAAAAAATAAAATAAAAAGGAGGGTCGACTACGATTGTTTGAATTTTCAAACCTTAAGAGGGCTATTGGGAAAATAACCAAAACTCGAGAGTGTAAATAGAAAATATCTAATATGTGAGGACTATATTGTAATTAACCCAAAGTGGAAAAGAATTGAAGTTTCCAAATAAATATCTTCTCCTTTAGAATATGGAACACAATCTAAAGAAAGTCAATCCCACGCGCTCTTAATTTGCAGCGGAGAAGAATCATAATCCGAAATCCAAATCCAAATCCAAATCCTAATCCTAATCCTAATCACCAAATCAAATTAGACTCTATTTATTCTTATTAATTATCCACAAAATCTCAATTTTCGTTTCGAACTTTCCCCCCATCTACAATCTAAAAATATTCGTCGGATTTTTGGGTTGGTAAGAAATTCTCCTTCCCTGCGTAATTTTTAAATTAATCAGCGTTTACTGATGAGCGGTTAGCATGGAAATTTTTTTAGCAAGAATTTTAGGGTTTTTAAGTATTTTTCAATCCAATATTTTGATTTTTCATATTTTTGTGTTTCAGTTCAATTATGAAATAATAAATGAGCATGCGTATGGTGTGCATGTTAGATTTAGATTATTTTTTTTCAAGCTTGTTTCTTTTGAATTGTATGTGTATGTGGTAATGTGCCCTGTATTTTTTCAAAGCATTGAATTGCCTCAAACCTTTTCTTCTTTATTTCGATTTTACCCTCGGAACGAACTCTCTGGCCTTTAATTTTCTTTTATTTTAAATAATTTGTCTCTGCAGTTACTAGGTCGAAGTACTAAAAGATTGATTTTTGATTGTATACGTAATTTTTATTATTTGGATTGAATTGATTAAATTCACTCGAAATCTTTGAGAACTCGATAATCGGTTGTTTGAATAAATAGATAAAAATGAAGGCTTGATAAGCGAGTAGAGAAGTGGATAAAAAATGGTTCGACCAATTTATTATAATAAACAGGTGCCAAACAAGGGCTTATCTGTCAAGTTTTTCCCCCCCCTCCAATAACTGGTTATTGTACTGGGTTTCAAATTATAGGTTGTTAAAATGTTTATAGATTAAAACATTTAAACTTGAACAGGATGCACATGGTGTTTACTAGTAGTTTACATATCCAACTTTTGAACTTTGCAGATATGCAGGGCCAATTGGTTTGCAGTGGGTGTAGGACTGTCCTCCTTTATCCCAGAGGAGCTGCGAATGTTCGCTGTTCATTGTGCAATGCAGTCACTTCTGTCCCCCAACCTGGTATTACTTGACAATCTTTTTCCAAATGGCTATTTTATGTCCAAACTTTAAAACAAGGAAACTTTATTGATGTTCTCTGCTAGGTCACCTTTCATTGTTTTCCTTGAGTATTTCACATGAATGAGTGGGTTTAGGGGAGATACAGACATAGAAAGTGGGGAATTTGTTATGTGTTTGGTTTCAGATCTCTAGGTTTTTTTTAGCTTTAATACGTCTTTAGTTTTGATGGATTAATATCCAGTGTAGGTTCTTTAGTTAAGTTCATCCCATTTAGATTGTTTATTACCTCATTCTCAAGATTGTAAGAAAGGTTTGAACAGTCAGGGAGAGAATATATCTCCAGGCCTGGAATTTTGGTCTTTGCTGACTGATTTTGTTTTCATAGATTTTACAGAAGTTACCTGCAATTTCATGCTTAGCATAATATATTGTAAGGAATAAGGAAACCAAAATTTTCCATGGCTTCTCCAAGGTGAGGTGAAATAGTATGTACTTCGTCTGAGAACACATAGTAGGCAGTTTGTTTTGACACATCAACTAATCATCTGGGTCAAGACAAGTTGACATCTGTGCTGTGCAGCTACCCCTGTCCTTCTCCTTAGTTTCTAAACTAACATAATCGTGGGACATCAAAACTGGGAAGTTGATTGTTGGTTTTTATTGCTAACTCTCGTATAGGTGAACTTTACCTTACTGTTTAGGTAGGATAGATGGATGTGGCCCATTGGCTAAACATCTGTCAGCTTCTTGTAGACTCAACTCTCTTCTCTTTAGGCTCCGAGTTGTTTTTGGATGAATTTCTGCCACCAGATGGAATAATATCTTAGGGATACCCTGAGTTGGTGATAGTTTGATAGATTAAAAGTAAAATAAGGAATTTTCCATAGTTATGCTTCCTTGGAGGCTGACTGTAACTTCCTAGAATAATGTATCTGATACATGTGCATTCTAGTTGGTGTCTTTATCTCTGATTTTGATGACAACATGCAGGGATGGAAATGGCTCAACTGATATGTGGAGGCTGCCGCACCTTACTTATGCATGCACGGGGAGCCACCAGTGTCAGATGTTCCTGCTGTCACACGGTGAATCTCGTTCCAGGTACAGACATCAGCTTCTATTTGTATAAAATAATGCTTAAATGCATCAGATATTATACAATCTTCATTTCCCTTCCAGAATGGTCAAGATGTGCTCTCTGTAGAAGTTGTATTTGGTTTTTGGCTTCTTACTAATGCATAATGGACAAAAATGACTTGTACCATATTCTTCTTAAATTCATGAATCGTGCTAGTTATCTTCAGCTCATCAACTTACATTTTAAATGATGGATGTGCAGCACCTAATCATGTTGCTCATGTTAGCTGCGGTAACTGTCATACCACACTAATGTATCCAGCTGGAGCTCCGTCCGTAAAATGTGCAATGTGTCACTACATTACAAATGTCAATGCCAATAACACGGTATTTACTTGAAATTTTTATGGATCACCACTGATCACATACACACAGGAAATTTCTTAGAGCATTTTTGGGTTGGCTTAATTCTAAATAAGCCCACCTAAACATGCTCCCAGTCTTTTGTTCCCTGCTTTGAAGGCTTCTTTTGAATTATTCTTAGGAAATTACTATAGCTTTCTCTTAGAGATAAAAATGTTTGATAAATTTTTTGATGTAATAATGATTCAAATTATGATTTGGAATTTATCAGTGTATGTGATATAGGTCAAGTTTATCAGTTTTATATATTGTACTAAAAAGGTTTGATACTTATTTATCCACGTAGAAGTTCACGAGTTGAGATCTGTAAGTTTGAAAGTGGCGACTTTTAAATTTGTTGTCCACCAATTAGTTATTGACACATCATTTCCCATTAAAATGTCACCTATTTTTAAGCATAAAGAGTAGTTAGAGAAAAGTTGGACATATTAATTTAAAATGATGTGTCAATAATTAATTAGGTGGATAACAAATTGGATAGCAGATCTCAACTCGAAGTTCACTTCCCTAACAAAACAAAGAAAAAGAGAAACAAATGAAGGAAGAGAATAACTATCAAGAGAGAACTGACTATTGAGAGCACGTTCTTGTCTGTGGTTCTCTCAGGTACCAATGTTGCAAATAACATTATCATCAACTCAAATCCTGCTTTCTTTTTCAAAGATACTCATGTTGTGTCTCTAACTTTTATCTACTTTGGCAGGTGAGTAATACAAGGGTTCCAGCTCCCGTGCACAGACCTGGTGGGAACCCGCCATCTGCATTAACACCGTCTACTTCCACAGTCAGTCCTTTGTTTTTTCTATACCATTTATTCATTATGGTTCTGATAATTTAATGTTGCATTCAATGATCAATCTGGTCTATTTGCTACAGGCAACATCCAATTCGCACAATCAAACAGTCGTCGTTCAGAATCCCATGTCTGTAGATGAAAGTGGAAAGTTGGTGAGTTTCTTCATATTTCCCACCAATCTTTTCCTTTTACCTTGAATGTTTTTCCTTATCGTTGTTTTGAATGCTGAAGATTAATTAAGTCGACCTGATTGTGAATTTTTGTAGGTGAGCAATGTTGTTGTTGGTGTCACAACATAGGAACGTTAATGATATGTACTATTGGTTCCCATAGTGGATTGTCGTTTCGGACTTATTTGGCTTCAACTTGGTATAGGGTCGTTTCATGCATATTGGAATTGGCAATTAAAAGTGTGGAAATAATGCTGCAAGTGTAAAGTTTCATAAGAAACTCGATTTTTTTATTTTTATTTTTGTTCTTGTAGTTTATGGAAGGGACAACTAGTGGAAGTTGATTTTCCAGTCATTTGCTGGCGTTGTTTGATATTAATACATTGTAAATTAGTGGGTGAATATGTTCATGTCATGCAGTTGAATGAAGACATTAACTGATTAATGAGACGTGTGAAATATTATGTCTTTCATAATTGTGCTTCCCACCTTATATTAAGCTAATTTTAATTTACATTGTTGGATAATGTAATGCGATTACATGCTTCGGTTTCTTGAGTCCNGACGTCCATATGTATTTTAGTGTTGAAATGGACTAGACTGAATTAATTAAATAAGAAACATAAAAACTTTTGAATTGAGTTATTGCCCCAATTGTGTTCAACTTATCATATCAAACTTTGCATTGAGTCCATGGAATTCGATGCGAGTCAAAGTGGTTGTAAGTCATAGTTTTCTCCTCCCTTTCAAGCCAGAATCTTTAATGTCCGAATTGACACGCAATATCTCATTCTTGTTTTTCCAATCTGCTGTCATCTACATATGTATCCACTTCGTTCTTTTTCCCAACAAAATTGGACTAACTGAAACAAATTAGAGAAACTTGTCATACTGGAAAAGAAACAGTGCATATGATTCTGTGATGATCACCCTTAAATATATTCAAAATGTTCATATCTTTCTGTATCTTCTTCTCCTTAATTCTCCTCGACCTCCATCCTGAACCGAACGGACCCTACCCCAGAAGACGAAATGGCTTCAGAAGGTGGAGAGAAACCAGAGGTTTTTGGTGTGGAGCGGGTGGCAGTTACTACAAGGTCATATGATTGGATCATTCCCACACTGAGGTTGCTTGCATTTTTTGCGACGCTTGCTGCGGCACTTGTAATGGCGCTTAACAAACAAAAGAAAACTTTTGTTGTTGCCACTATAGGAACCACTCCAATACAAGTTACTCTCACCGCCAAATTTCGACACACTCCAGCATTTGTGTAAGTTTCTGATTTCTTTTCAGATATACACTTTATCAATGCTTTTTAGATAAATGTTACTTTTGGTATACTGAATTGGACCGAAATCATGTTTACTTTACTTGTACAGATTCTTCGTGATAGTTAATGGCATTGCTAGTCTCCATAACTTGTTGATGTTAATCGTCAATCTCGTGGGACGCAAGTTTGATTACAAGGGACTTCGCCCTTTAGTAATTGCAGCATTAGACATGGTAAACAATTAACCATTCACGTCGTCAATAAATGAAACATAACCTGTTTTTTAGAAGTTAATTTACAAAATCTGTTTATTTCCGAAGATAAGTAAACAAGTTGATCTATTTGTGAATGTAGATGAACGTGGCTCTCGTCTCCGGTGGAGTGAATGCGGCTGCCTTCATGGGTCAGCTGGGTAGGGATGGGAATTCTCATGCAAGGTGGAATAAAATTTGTGACAAATTTGAGAGCTATTGTGACCGTGGAAGTGGTGCCATGTTGGCTTCTTTTATCGGCCTCGGACTAATGATCATCGTCAACATTATCTCCATTGTCAAGCTTCGCAATCATAAACTTGTTAACTCTTCTATTGTTCCTTGATCTATAAAGCTCTATATCCGAGTGTACTCAGTGTTCTGTTTTTAGTGCCTACAATAATGTACTTTCTCTTGTATTGAACATGGTTGACGAAAAAAGACACGTGAAATATTTACATGTTTTTCTTTCTACTCAGTGCAGTGTACTAATCATGACTTAATGGATTGCTTAATGACTCGTATTGTACTAGACACTATTAAGAAAGATCCAAACAACTTGTATGGAAGAATTAGACATCCTTTGCCATCTTCAAAGAGCAGAAGTGCAGAAGTACTACAAGAGATGTTGAAAGATCATCTTATGATCATTACTATGCATAGCTCAAGTCTCCATCTTCAGGCCGGCTTAATCCCCAATGATCACTGTGTAGCTAGCGCTCTGTCAATCTATTCAATTCCTCCCAAACATCCATTATGTTCCATGTACGGTTCAACAGTGTCCCGTACTTCCTAATAGTTCTGTTTGACATGAATGGAGCGAGTTTCGTGGGTATATGTCCATTTACATAGGATAAAGCTGTGAGTACAAGCAAAATTTTATAGGATTTGACACAGGATTTTGAAATTGTCTCACATGGGGATGGGCCTCATGTGAATAAAAAATTGGCAAAACCTCTCCCACCGACCCCCCATTGTGTGTTCTTTGGCTTTTGAATTCCTGTACTTCCAGCACGATCTATTTACATATTCATAAAGCTTTCAATTGTCTCACATGGGGATGGGCCCCATGTGAATAAAAAATTGGCAAAACCTCTCCCACCCACCCCCCATTGTGTGTTCTTTGGCAGTACAAGAATTCCTGTACTTCCAGCACGGTCCATTTACATATTCATAAAGCCTTCAATAATAAATATAAACCGTGAGATCCATAAATACAAATAAAATAATGCAAACAGAGTCCAGATTGTTACCCCCCTGAGGATCACTCGGGATTCTTGTTTCAATTGGAGAATAGTAGTCCGTGATGCTTCGTGAGTACATATTAGCATAGATGAAAGACTCCATTTTACAATATGATAACCATCAGAATCATATATTGAGCAGTATTACCATCAGCCATAAATTTTGTGGTAGGACTTGAAGAATTCAACAATTCAGATTTCCTTAACCAGTTTAATACTCCATGTAGCCAAACTCAATTTTATTGACATGCCCCTGAAACAAAGAATACATCAGCTAAAAAGTAAATCATAAATTTTAATACAAAGAGGCTACTTGGCTGTTGACTATATCTCAATTCCACTCAACTTACAAGGCCTTCTCCTTTAGTACTGGGGATGGATTATGTGATGTGCTTGTATTCATCAAATATGTTGTTTTGCATGAACTAAAGTTCGAAAAGAACAATTCAGATTCAAACCATCTACTTTTTTTTCTCTCTCTTGCACACTACACATATTTTATGGGCAAAAAAGTTGAATACAATACTGACAATCACCTACTATTTTTGTCGGTAAAATTCTTGTAGACATGAAATCTCCCCTTATCTAGTACAATTCCCATTTAGATTTCTTGCTTTTCATGAAAACCTTGCCAATCCAAGGATAGAAACCCACCTCATTTTAAAGAAAGAAATCTGTCAGCAGACCAATATGTGGGTAAATCCTTCTCAAGGGACTTTCAAGTGCTGATATTTCATCTTCCATGACATCCAGGCAGAAATCTTTGGCTTCTTCTGGTGTAGTCAAACTTTCGGCCTCATCTACCCAATTGCTGATACATAAAGGATAAGAGGACTTAGATAAGACTGTATAACAATCTGGGAAGCTCCCAAGAGACAAACAAGCATACCGCAATCTATCCCACAGGCATATTGATGGGGTCCAGGCATTTGAAGATTATGGAAGTCTTTCATTTTGGTTGCTATAAGGGAAGATATCTCCGGTTAACGCAAATCAGCTGCTGAAAATGTCTGGAATGACACAGCGTTACAAGACAAGCCATCTATTTTTTCACGGTTTCAGACAATATCAGGAAATTCCATATTAAGGGTTGTTGTAAAGATTGAATCTTTGTCAGGGCCCTGATTCAATCTAATTGCCAAGTCGTCAATTCTCACTCTTGTAAAGTGATCAACTCTACTAGTATTGTTAAAGATTAATTCAACAACACAGAAGTCACAATGTACATAAGAGTATGAATTTGTTGTAGACCAAAATTCAAATAAATAAATAAATGTGTCCCTCCTATAAAAGTTTTGAGCTTTTCAATAAACTAGTTCATCGAGGTAAAAAGCATCCTAAATTCTAATCCCGTCACCTTTGATTTGTGCATGTGTCATGCGATGCGAAAATGAATCTGGCACACACTTTACAAAGGGTGAATTGCAGGCTAAATTAGATAAATTATTGTGTGCCTTGTCTAAAAGCTTATACAACCAAATCAAAACTGAAATTCTGCTTTTTTCACGCTTTAATTTAAATCTATCTACCTGCCTTTTTCATTTTTTTCAGGAAATCCCACCTGGGCGATCACAGCATGCATCTCAAATTAATAATGCTACTCAAACAGGGATGGCAAACAGGGGCAGGTGCTGCGTTGCTGTCCAATGAAGTTGAGTCACGTGTCACCCTATTTTTGATCATTGTCATTGAACCTGTTTGTGTAGCACGATCATCTCAAATGTACAACGCATAAATCACCTTGTAAATGCATACCCGATCACGAATGAACTCTTCTATACGGCCATTAGAAAACCGCCCTAGCAACAATAAAGCTCCAATCATAGGAAAATTTTAACAGAATTGATACGGAGGTTACGCTCCTCTTTTTTTTTTTTTTTTCCCTCTCTCCATCTTCCAACGATTCCAAGCTATATATCGCGTGTCAAAATTTTCTTCAATTTCTTGTACAGCATGATTGCCCTAGCAAACGCAAACCCTGTCCTTGTTCCGACATGAACTAAACGTACGAATCTCATTTTCTCTAAAAAGGAATACATCCACCCCTTTACCATAAATCCTCACCAGCACTTCCCTCCTACGTTGCTGCGATTCTTTATCAGAATTCGTAGGCCACTTGATTTGATAAACCTCGTTAGTCATGGATCCCTTCAATGGAACCGCCTGCATCGCATTTGCATCGGTAATATCGTCCCATTTTAACGCCAGAGATTTAGTATTTTTACAGCTTCGTCGGGAATGCGCCGTTCTCTAGTTTCAGAATCCGATGAATTTTCGGCAGATCCCATAAATTATTTTACTGATAAATGAATCGAAATATTCCGTTTGTGTAATAGAATACAAGGAATCTGGGTGAATTTTGCACTGGGAATATTCAGGGAACAACGAAGAATATAACACGAAAGAGAAACCATACACGTTGCCACGTAGAGAAAATGAACAAATAGGAATGGAGTTGGTACTAGGAAAATCACGTTTGATCCACATTAAAATTTTCATTTTCATTCTTCTATTCATTTTCAACCATATATTCTTTAATAAAATAACATTTTCGTCACAATTTTTTACTTTTGTTCCCCGACTTTTACAAACCATTTTTTTTAACATCAGATATATTCTACCTTCCAGAAATGTAGCAAAATTCGTCATTCCATCGATTTTTACAGTTAAAGTCCCGTAAACTGAATATTTTTCCCTCTTTAAATAAACATCACAAAAGGAAAATAATTTGATTATGTTTTGGAAGAAAAATATCTATTTTAATATTTTGAAGCTTATTAATATTAACTTGTTTAGAAAATAGTTATAAAATTTATTATGTTTCAAAATCTCCTCCAAAATAACTTCAAAAAATAATGTAATTTAATGAGTTTTTTTTAAAATTCCTGAATCCTTTCCCATCACTATTTATTTATGAAAAATGCTAGATGTACATCAAAAAATGTACATCAAGATCTACATACCTTCACATGGAGGGGTCTACTCGAATAAAATATTCAAGTGGGCCCCTTACCCATGTGAGGGGGGTGTACACCATGATGTACACCCCATGGTGTACACCCCAATATACCACTAGCATGACTCTTTATTTATTTCCACATAAAAAATTCTAAGGACGTAGTTCAACTTGTTGTTCATGTTTAATTCTAAAATAACATCAGTCATTTTTCTTTAAAAAATTGTTTAATTCTAAGGACATAGTTCAACTTGTTGGTTCGTGTAAAATACGAAATGCACCTATCAAGTGCGAACTGGGTTGGAATGACGCCATCCATGTAATGGGCTAGCCCAAAAATTCCATATGTTTATGGTGCCTGACTCAGGGTGGGTATGAAGACCATTGATCTATGGTCCATTAAGGGTATGATTGATGGTTTAAATACTGATATGATGGAAAATATGTGGTTAAAAGGTAAGGAAAAATGACTGATGTTATTTTATTGAAAAATGTGTGGTTAAAAATGAATTTTGAAAGAATATGTATCAAATATGAGCGAAATTCAAGAAAAGTTTGGTAAATATAGAAAGATGATAGACGACCGACCGACAGAGCACCTAAATATGTCAAATGGACCCACCTATGCTAGAGTTTGTGTATGACTTGTGTGTCAATGTTTGACCTCCACTAAATTCCCAGCCCACATTTCTCTCAATACTGTTCCTACACTCTGACTGAAATATTTAATTTTATTTATTGAATTCTGACATGAAAGTTTCCAGTAAGTCGAGTTTTTGCTCCGGCGATCCTGAAACGGACGCCAGTCAAGCAATAACAATTCATTTAACCATTTATCATTCATTCGATTGTGTAATCGATTTTTGACATAATTCATTCTTTGTATATGTCAGTTCCAACCTAAGAACGTATTTACGACATTCTCCACGGAAATGTTTTATTATCAATGCATTTTAGCAAAGTCCACTTTAGGTAAAGGGGACAAACAAATTACTACATAGTTTTTATGTCCATTTGGATAATAACACTACACATTATGCTTGAGGACAAAATGGGAAAAAAAAAATTTGTCAAAAAATTGGGGGGGGTCCTGGTCCCCCCCAGGACCCCCGCTCCATCCGCCCCTGAATGTTGCTAACTTGGAGAATAGTAGTCCATGATGCTTCGTGAGTACATATTAGCACAGATGAAAGACTCCATTTTACAATATGATTACCATCAGAATCATATATTGAGCAGTATTACCATCAGCTATAAATTTTGTGGTAGGACTTGAAGAATTTAACAATTCAGATTTCCTTAACCAGTTTAATACTCCATGTTCAAAATCAATTTTATTGACATGCCCCTGAAACAAAGAGTACATCAGCTAAAAAGTAAATCATAAATTTTGATACAGAGAGGCTAAGTGGCTGTTGACTATATCTCAATTCCACCCAACTTACAAGGCCTTGTCCTTTAGTACTTGGGATGGATTATGTGATGTGCTTGTATTCATCAAATATGTCGTTTTGTTTGAACTAAAATTCGAAAAGAACAATTCAGATTCAAACCATCTACTTTTTTTTCTCTCTTGCACACTACACATATTTTATGGGCAAAAAAGTGGAATACAATACTGACAATCACCTACAATTTTGTCGGTAAAATTCTTGTAGACATGAAATCTCCCCTTATCTAGTACAATTCCCATTTAGATTTCTTGCTTTTCATGAAAACCTTGCCAATCCAAGGATAGAAACTCACCTCGTTTTAAAGAAAAAATCTCAGTCAGCAGACCAATATGTGGGTAAATCGGTAAATCCTTCTTAATGGACTTTCAAGTGCCGATATTTCATCTTCCATGACATCCAGGCAGAAAGCTTTGGCTTCTTCTGGTGTAGTCAAACTTTCGGCCTCATTTACCCAATTGCTGATACATAAAGGACAAGAGGACTTAGATAATCAACTAAGATTCCATAACAATCTGGGAAGCTCCCAAGACAAACAAGCATACCGCAATCTATCCCACAGGCATATGGACTGGGGTCCTGGCATTTGAAGATCATGGAATGGAAGTCTTTCATTTTGGTTGCTATAAGGGAAGGTATATCCGGTTAACGCAAATCAGCTGCTGAAAATGTCTGGAATGACACAGTGTTACAACTTACAAGACAGGCCATCTATTTTTTCACGGTTTCAGACAATATCAGGAAATTCCATATTAAGGGTTGTTGTAAAGATTGAATCTTTGTCAGAGCCCTGATTCAATCTAATTGCCAAGTCGTCAATTCTCACTCTTGTAAAGTGATCAACTCTACTAGTATTTTTAAAGATTAATTCAACAACACGGAAATCACAATGTACATAAGAGTATGAATATGTTGTAGACCAAAATTCAAATAAATAAATGTGTCCCTCCTATAAAAGTTTTGAGCTTTTCAATAAACTAGTTCATCGAGGTAAAAAGCGTGCAAAGATCCTAAATTCTAATCCCGTCACCTTTGATTTGTGCATGTGTCATGCGATGCGAAAATGAATCTGGCACACACTTTACAAAGGGTGTATTGCAGACTAAATTAGATAAATTATTGTGTGCCTTGTCTAAAAGCTTATACAACCAAATCAAAACTGAAATTCTGCTTTTTTCACGCTTTAATTTAAATCTGTCTACCTGCCTTTTTCATTTTTTTCAGGAAATCCCACCTGGGCGATCACAGCATGCATCTCAAATTAATAATGCTACTCAAACAGGGATGGCAAACAGGGGCAGGTGCTGCGTTGCTGTCCAATGAAGTTGAGTCACATGTCACCCTATTTTTGATCATTGTCATTGAACCTGTTTGTGTAGCATGATCATCTCAAATGTACAACGCATAAATCACCTTGTAAATGCATACCCGATCACGAATGAACTCTTCTATACGGCCATTAGAAAACCGCCCTAGCAACAATAAAGCTCCAATCATAGGAAAATTTTAACAGAATTGATACGGAGGTTACGCTCCTCTTTTTTTTTTTTTTTTCCCTCTCTCCATCTTCCAACGATTCCAAGCTATATATCGCGTGTCAAAATTTTCTTCAATTTCTTGTACTTATAGCATGATTGCCCTAGCAAACGCAAACCCTGTCCTTGTTCCGACATGAACTAAACGTACGAATCTCATTTTCTCTAAAAAGGAATACATCCACCCCTTTACCATAAATCCTCACCAGCACTTCCCTCCTACGGTGCTGCGATTCTTTATCAGAATTCGTAGGCCACTTGATTTGATAAACCTCGTTAGTCATGGATCCCTTCAATGGAACCGCCTGCATCGCATTTGCATCGGTAATATCGTCCCATTTTAACGCCAGAGATTTAGTATTTTTACAGCTTCTTCGGGAATGCGCCGTTCTCTAGTTTCAGAATCCGATGAATTTTCGGCAGATCCCATAAATTATTTTACTGATAAATGAATCGAAATATTCCGTTTGTGTAATAGAATACAAGGAATCTGGGTGAATTTTGCACTGGGAATATTCAGGGAACAACGAAGAATATAACACGAAAGAGAAACCATACACGTTGCCACGTAGAGAAAATGAACAAATAGGAATGGAGTTGGTACTAGGAAAATCACGTTTGATCCACATTAAAATTTTCATTTTCATTCTTCTATTCATTTTCAACCATACATTTTTTAATAAAATAATATTTTTCATCACATCAATAATTTTTTCTTCTTTTTCAACCACACATTTCCCATCATATCACTATTCAAAAATCAATTCTTCCCCCCTATAACCATACATTTTTTAATAAAATAACATTTTCGTCACAATTTTTTACTTTTGTTCCCCGACTTTTACAAACCATTTTTTTTAACATCAGATATATTCTACCTTCCAGAAATGTAGCAAAATTCGTCATTCCATCGATTTTTACAGTTAAAGTCTCGTAAACTGAATATTTTTCCCTCTTTAAATAAACATCACAAAAGGAAAATAATTTGATTATGTTTTGGAAGAAAAATATCTATTTTAATATTTTGAAGCTTATTAATATTAACTTGTTTAGAAAATAGTTATAAAATTTATTATGTTTCAAAATCTCCTCCAAAATAACTTCAAAAAATAATGTAATTTAATGAGTTTTTTTTTAAAATTCCTGAATCCTTTCCCATCACTATTTATTTATGAAAAATGCTAGATGTACATCAAAAAGTGTACATCAAGATCTACATACCTTCACATGGAGGGGTCTACTCGAATAAAATATTCAAGTCGGCCCCCTACCTATGTGAGGGGGGTGTACACCATGATGTACACTCCAATGTACCACTAGCATGACTCTTTATTTATTTCCACATAAAAAATTCTAAGGACGTAGTTCAACTTGTTGTTCGTGTTTAATTCTAAAATAACATCAGTCATTTTTCTTTAAAAAATTGTTTAATTCTAAGGACGTAGTTCAACTTGTTGGTTCGTGTAAAATACGAAATGCACCTATCAAGTGCGAACTGTGTTGGATTGACGCCATCCATGTAATGGGCTAGCCCAAAAATTCCATATGTTTATGGTGCCTGACTCAGGGTGGGTATGAAGACCATTGATCTATGGTCCATTAAGGGTATGATTGATGGTTTAAATGCCGATATGATGGAAAATATGTGGTTAAAAGGTAAGGAAAAATGATTGATGTTATTTTATTGAAAAATGTGTGGTTGAAAATGAATTTTGAAAGAATATATATCAAACATGAGCGAAATTCAAGAAAAGTTTGGTAAATATAGAAAGATGATAGACGACCGACCGACAGAGCACCTAAGTATGTCAAATGGACCCACCGGTGCCAGAGTTTGTGTATGACTTGTGTGTCAATCTTTGACCTCCACTAAATTCCCAGCCCACATTTCTCTCAATACTGTTCCTACACTCTGACTGAAATATTTAATATTATTTATTGAATTCTGACATGAAAGTTTCCAGTAAGTCGAGTTTTTGCTCCGGCGATCCTGACACGGACGCCAGTCAAGCAATAACAAAATGAAATTGCATAAAAGTATCATAATATTTCATCTTTGACTTTGAGGATATTGAAATGTCAGGCATTTAACGAAATTATTGACAATGGTGATGCAACACGACAAACTTCTCTCAAGAATTTGAAAAGTAATACTCATTATTTAGTGAAAGAAAAAGCCAAAAAGTAAGCAATTTGTATAGCATTCAAAACTGCCTGCTTGGAAAATGCTGTAATTGACACAATCCGGGCCTAGCTAGGAGATATATAGATACATACATACATACATGTACTGCACTCTTATAAAACCCTGTAATCAGAGAGAGAGAGAGTCTCTTTCTCTCTCTTGCTCGAGAGTCAATCTGGAATTTTTTCCCGATAAGGAAGCTGTGGATGATGAAAAGAAAGGTGCGTTAGTTGGGATGTGCCTGGCTCCCTATATGCCACACGACAACACTAATCTAAATTTGGGATTGGTTGTAACGGGTGGCATATAAGGAGCCGAGCATATCAAAATCCATCACTCTTCTCTATATTTATGTAAACACATCTTGTTCAAAACTATGTAATTGGATTCAGACAAGCAAGCTAATGAAGGAAATACTTTGATTTGTGGATAATGAAGATTATCAGATACCACTTTTGTATTGATTTATTTTATTTTTACCTATTAGCCCGCCCTTTAATCTGATCTTGGATCTGTCCCTGCAAGGAACATGATCTGGGTTTTGTATCATTTCCATACTGAAAACTTAAGGCTGTTGAAGCTCTTAATTTTGAAAGTGAAAACTAGATTTAATACCCCTTTTTGAGAAAAGTCGATGGTGGACAATTGACAACTGCCCTAAATTTTATAAAAAAATTGAAAAATACTCTCAAAATGATGCAAACCAGATAAGTTTAAATCAAAGCTGCTTGGGTGAGATGGCAGATCATGTAGAATAAATGGAGTTGGCATCGATTAGAATGACAAGGATTGTGTGAAGATCGAGGAGAAGATGGAAGATAGTTAGAGGTCTATCGGTTATTCTTCGAAAGATGTAACAACGGAGGTAAGGTGATATCACTTTCCTTTCGTACACTTCTTTTGCAATATACATCGAAAGTTGGAGAATACATACCCATACGTCTGTGGACCTTTAGTACTGTACTATACCCCCGAACTAGCAGCGAAGGTTTAAATTGATAGCATAAAAACTATTGTCTAAGCCGGTGCGGCCTTCGAGTGAAAAACAGAAGTATGTGAAAAGAATATGATGACATTCATCTGTATTATGTTTATGACAATTATTTTGAAGGAATGATTTTTGCCATAGTAACATATTGAGTTTTCCAAATAAAATTTAATATATTGAAAACTTTTAAGTTATCAAAACAAAATTTATTTCCATTATATTATTTGATGTCTGAAAAGTCGAACATTAACTATCTAAATTTAATATAAGACTTCTCAAACAGACATCTTGTTACCCTATCTGAAAAAGAACACTTCATGTTTGAATTAACAAACATGTAATAAAAACAACACAACACATCAAGATTAACACCAACATAATTTGAAACCTAAAACATAAGCAGGAACACATGTTAATGCTTGTTTGGGAGAGATTTTTGGGAGAAGAATTAATTTTGAATAGTGATATGATGTGAAATATGTGGTTGAAAAAGAAGAAAAAATTATTGATGTGATGGAAAATATTATTTTATTGAAAAATGTGTGGTTGAAAATGAGAATTGATTTACTGTAAAATTTTAAGAATCCCTCCCAAACAGGGCCTTAGTTTTCAACTCACACTCAATGTAGCAATGAATGTCTCCGAAAATTGGAAGAATTTCTGTTTAAACTTGATGAAAATACAATTATTTTTGGTCAGAAATTTGGATGATTTCTTGTCCGAAAATTGTTTTTAGATTTAATTTCTGGGGCATAATTTTAGTGTTTAGTTTTGTCTTTGGGCCATAGTTAATTCTGTATTATATAGTTTTAGGTATTTTTAATAGGTTTGTTAGTTTGTAGGTAAATTACAAATTGTTCGTCAGCACACCCTTTGTGGGGGTAACTGTAGTTTTACCAGGAAACCAACTATTCTCTGGTATAATGAACCTCTAAACCTGCATATTGGTCACAAAAAAATAAAAAAATTGTCACATACGTATAGACAAGTCACAACGGTATAATTGAGTTCAGTACTAATTCAGAAATCACATAAAACAAAGTCCTTATTTATAGGTCACAACCTCCAAACATGCATATTGGTCACATGTAAAATATGTATTTATGAATTTGTCTTTTACAAGGGGAATCTTTATGTATTTCATCTACCTTTCTTTTACCTCTTCTGTCCGAGGCCTCGACGTTCTTCTTTTGATTTTTACTCCTCGAATGAGCCATTTATCTTTGGGTTTACGATATACAACTTTCACATAATGAAAATATTTATAGATTGATGGTTATAGTGGGAGGATAATGTGCGTTGATGGTGGTCACGAGTTCACCGGAGAAGTAACGGCGTCAAGGAAAAACTCTTTGCGGTCTTGGGTCTGTGAAGAAGAAACGTGGGAGGAGGTTTCGAAATATCAGGAAGTTATGTTGTTTTCTAATTTTAAGACACTTAAATCACGGGATACGCAGTTGCTAACGCTTATATTTAAATATAATATATCTGGCTTTTGAAAAGTGAAATCTCCCACATAATTTTAGAATATTGAACTTTAAAAGTAGGTTGGGTGTAATTTACACTTTTATCAATCTTTTTATAAATTACTCCAAATTTAATGCATCTCAGTTTGTGACATCTTAGCATGTTCTAGGCACGGAAATAATATATAATTTAACATATTGGTATACAAGTTGCCAGACACAAACCCAGACCAATGCCGGCCCCAATCGTGCACCAGAATCACGCCCACCAAATCCACGCGTGTATTGGCAGCTCCAACATGACTCACACCTTCAGTTTTTTTTTTTTATTAGAGCAGGAGTCGAGATGCAATATTATTGCTACAAGTCCCTTTATATTTCGCACCTGATAATAATCAACAAGGTTGAAACTTTTAGGAACAAAAAGGTAACACGTAAACGAGTAGATAACACTCACATGCTTAGAGACAGTGTCAAAAATAACTTGATAAGATGATAAAAGTCGCCACTCTTTCACAAATCAAGAAACTGTAACTAAAAGTTTTCGTCGAATGAGACTAACAACCACGGCAACAATATCAAATTGCATACAGGATTATGGACTCTGGTTTTTTGAACTTGGAATGCACTTAAAGGAGCATAGGATTTCTAAACGGATCCCAAAAAGTAAGA